TTTAATATTCATGTGAATGTAATGGAACAGTCAACATGGAGCAAATGAAGGAGAAAGCTTAAACTTTTTATTTTAAAAAGGAGAAAGTTTTAAGTGGTATGACCAGAGAATCAACTTCCATGCTTGTTCTCACACAAGTTAACACGGGTTGACCTTTGGATGGAAGAAACTTCAAATTAACATTCTACCTGTATGAACCACGCTTACAATATTTTAACAAACAGGAAAGACAAGTGCATAGGGAAATAAGTCCCAGAGGGAAGAAGTGAGTAAGGAAAGGGTTGAACAGCTTGAAACAGGTAAAATACACCATTAATTTATTTCTGACAGAGTCAGGTAATCTCTCTACTTTTGTCTTCTAATACCTTTTATATTCACTTTAGTAAGAAGCTTCAAAATCTTACTCATGCTTATGCTATTTGATTTCATTAATGCATATGAAATCTAACACATGCGTTAATAAAATCAAATGTTCATTTAAAAATGATACTTCTTATTAGGCTAACATTTGCAYACAATGCTCTGAGCAATATCTAAAAGCCTGTTTTGGAAATCTAAAGAAATTACGTTAATAACAAATGCTGACATTTTCAAATGAAGGCCCTCAGGTKACAATTTTCCAGTTAATAACAAGTATCATTTTGAACAAGTTAGATGAGATTTCCATATTCCATGTCACGACATTTAGAGGTTTCCTTTCAAGGGTGCAGACAATTTCATTCTATCATAAGATTAATAAAGTTAATAAATGAGCTGTGTTAGTTGGGCTTTTCCTACCTCAGCTGCAAATTATGTTAGATGCTCAGCTCTCACAGTGAAGAAGGGGGCTGACTTGAACAGATTTTTACAAAGAACAGAGAGGGATATATGTATATGCTATGTACAAACAGAAGAAGTATGGATGTACACAGTGATATTAATATGTGAGAGCTGGAAAACTTAGACTAAAATTCATTGGGCCCAGTGAAAAAGTCTCCCTCAGGCATCTCTGACTTACTAATAAGACCTTAAAGAAATTTTAACAGTGTAAAGCCTGGATAGCTAAATTTTTGCCTGAACATATTCYACATGCAGAAATGGAAGCCATTGACTAACTCAAGGCCCTACCATTTACAGAGGGAAAAAAAAGTGGAAATCCATCTTCTAACTGTGATGGTGGATAGAATTCTAGTAACTAAGCTTCGATCATAGACTTTTCATAGACTTTTCTAATTTCCTGTAGTTAAAAGTGTGAATTTGCCAGCTTCACTGCTCACATTTTCAGATTAAAGCACCTTCTTCAAYTTTTCATCCAGGTTGAGATATCAGTTTGTTTTGCTCTTCATTTTCCACTGTAAGAGTCAATATTTTCCTTTTAAACGTTATGAAGAAGTAATTCTATTCTTTGTTTTGAGTTCCTGAAACATGCCTTCAAAAGAATGGAAATAAAGCAGGATCATAGTGCTTTTGAGCACACTGAGTTTTAGCTTCTTGATTTGCTCTAATTTTAAAGAATTTTATATTATGTTCTTGTTAACTWGTTCCTATACTCAATGAACTTGCACTTCAATTTGATTTTTAAAAAGCTGCCTTTGGAAATTTGTTTGATACAAGCTCTCAAATGAGAGGTTTTCATCTTTCTCACAGGAATTTTTACAGTTTACAGGTCTTTTGCAGTATTATACAATCACAAACAAATTTTAAAAAATCCCCACCCTTAAATAGAATTAATACATACTGGAAGAACATAAAACCTATCGTTGCTACTCTCTTATATGCATACTTTTTGCTTTTGGCCTTATCATAYAAGAAGATGCCAAACATTTTTCCAGAATGCCCTGACATTACAGTCTGATGTGCTGATGTGATTCACTTCCCACTAATTRCAGTTTCTTTAAGCTTTCTGGCAAAACAGTGCCTTTGTGAAAGAAYTGATCTGCAATGACCCCAGAGGATCATCCAGTCACCATACCAAAGATTTTCAGTATCTRCATGGTACTAGTCAAAAAGAGGATACTACAGTATTGTATATTATATATAATACTACATMTTTTTAATCCTATTTTGTAGCTTGTGCTCTATAATCTATGCCTTTGTACTCTATAATCAAAACTTCCATTCTTCCATCTGAAAGTTATTTGGTTGGAATAACCACAAACCAAACATTCTTTTCAATCACATACTATGTGTCTATTTTGCAATGACAAAAGTTCTAATTAATACACTGATTTATTTACTGTTTGCCAGGAGGACAATGGCTTGGCAATATTTTACCTATCTCCTCCTCCATCCTTTACACTCTCTCCATTCATAATGCTGAGGGCTATGGGCTGATCCTGCATTACTCTGGGCAAGTAAGATCTTAGCATAGTGTTTTATTTACCCTGTAGAGAAAATTAGGGTGAATCTCTACAAAATTGGATGATTATTATCAGTGTATAAAGGGATCTCAAAAAAATTTAAGGGAACACATTTATGGTAAAACATTACTTTTTTTTTTCCTAATGAATTGCTGGTTTCCTGATACTAGAAATACATCTACTTGTTCCCTTTCAAAAGCAGATGTTCTGCTTTAATTCTAAATTATCTGCTGCTTTATAGAAACTTGCACTACTATGACATGCAATCCAAAAGGACGGGAGCAATCCTTATTTATTACTGGGGAGTAATAAAGCTCTCCCCTTTCTTCCTCAGAYGAGGGTGTGTAATGACAGCATATCTACCCAGTGATCTACGCACCCATGATAAGGAAAAGAACGATTTCTAACTGTATTCGTTAGATCTTGAGTCATCCAGCTGCTGAGCAACACCCAGCTGTAACCTGGGTGGGGTGCAAGTCTCCCCTTCCCATTACAAAATGAAAAGCTTTTGTAGAAGAGCAGGCAGAATGTAGGGCTGGAACTCAGGGAATGATTCTGCTGCGCATTGAATTTATCTGACAAATTAGGAAAAYTAACTTATTTCCACCTCCCCTTCCCACAAAATTAGGAAGTTCTACTTATTTCYACCTCCTCTTCCCACAAACTGTTTCTCTCAAACATTAGAACACACACTATTAATTAAGTCTGTATTWACTGTAGCATTTCCCTCACCACATTTCTTCCGTATGAATAAATGATGGACTCCACCCATCCCACTGGAGCACAATGCTTGTGCTGCTGAAGGCAGACCAAAAACTTGACAGATAGCATTCAGGATTTTCTGGGATTTCTGTTATTTTTTTCTTGGCTTTCTAGAGGTGTGCCGTTCTTATCTTCACTGTTCCTCTTACAGACAATGCCTGTTATAGCCAGGGGATTTACAGGAAAGCTGAAAAATACGGCCATTCAGCTTTCTCAGCCTTTTTCAGGATACTTGCAGAGGATAGGAATAAATCCAGAGACAAAGAAAATAAAGGTTCCTCTGTACAAGCAGAATAGATGTYTTCTACATTATTCAAACAAATACCTTGGTTATACTTTTAAAAACAGCAAAATAAGTGTGAAACCGTGAGTGTGTTCAGGGTGTGACCATGTTACTGTTAGGTCACACGYAGAAATTAAAATATACTTTCTGACAACAAAATGCACCTTTAAATATTACTCCTTTAATGCATGCAGAGTGTTCAGTCCTAAGTACTGATTTAAAAAAATGACTTTGGGATAATTTAAAGAAAAAAAATTGCCAATCTTTTGAAATTACATCTTTCCTTGGCACCATTTTTCCAAAAGTCAAAAGGAACAACTGCAAATAAAGTCAGCAAAGAAAATATGCAGCATTCATGGGATCTCAGACTCGCAAGCAGTTCAACTAATAATTGTTTAATAACTATGTGCATGATTTCATAAATGCTGCTTGCCAAAATTAGATGTATCTTCACTTGCCTGGCCAAAGATGAAGCTCTGACCTCACCAAAAACTCTGRTAAATTTTAGCCAGCTTGTCAGTGAAATAATTTGGGGATTTTTTTAATAACATGAGCAGAACAATGCACTATTCACTAAATGCATCCTTAAATATTGCTGAGCTGTCTCRGCTGGATTTTTTCAAAGCAATTACCCATTAAAGCATTGAAACATATTTGYTGTGCAAAACATGGTGGTAATTTAAAATGCTACCATCCTTCTGCTATAATTATTTTATCTCCAGCAGTGTTGAAGGAACAAAACATGGGATTTCTTTGCTGCTTTGGAGCAAAATCTGGAATTTTAATATAAATTGCCTAAAAACACAATACTGAGCTGAACTACCTGATTACTCCTCTAAACTGAAGTAACTGAAGTGGGAGATGGTAACACATTCCCTTTTCTTCACTACACTTTACTGTCAGTGCATTAGATATATAAGAAAAAATCTGCTAAAAACATTGTTTTGACAAAGTTATAGACACTGAAAAATGGCATTTTAAATCAAAAGAGAGGCCTATTTGCACATGGCCTGCAGCACTCAAAATCTCTCTTTAACTTGGCGACATCAACCCTTCCAAGACTGCACTGAAGGGCTGAATTTTCTGACACTTGCTTTTTTAACTTCAGATGGAAACTTTTCGATTTTTTTTTTCCTCCCCATCTTTTTACGGAATTTAACGTGTTATAAACTAATTTCTCCTCTGTGAATAACATCTAAGTACCCTTCAAAGCAGCCTCTTCCAAAGGTACGAAATGCGATAAAAATGTCCTGAAAGCAGCTCGCTGCCTTGCACGTTATAGAAGGTGTAGGGTCACTAAAGAGACCAGAGAAACAAACAGAATTGTGTTTGAAAACCACAGAGCGCCTGACAACGCTGTCCAGCCGAGAGCGTCCGGCGCGGCTGGGGCGGCTCGGGAGCGGGCCGGGAGCGGCCGCAGGGGCTGGGCTGGGCTGGGCTGGGCTGCCCGGGTTTCCCCGCAGGGATGCGGGAACGGCAGCGGCCGCAGGAGGGGCCGTAGGGGCTGGGCTGGGCTGGGCTGCCCCGGTTTGCCCGCGGGGATGCGGGCACGGCAGCGGTCCCGCCTGAGTCCGGGCCGGGGGTGGAGGGCGGCGCTGTGAGCGGCGGGGCGGCCCCACTTCCCCTCAGGCAGCGCCGGGTCCCGCCGAGCCGGGCCGGTCCCGCCGAGCCGCCCCGCTGCCCCGCGCCTTCTCGCAGCCTCCRGAGCCGCCGCCCGCCCGCCAAGGTAAAGCGGGCAGGGAGGGATTAGCCCGGGACCCGACGGGGCAGGGTGTGCGGAGTCCCGCTCGCCGCGGCGAGGAGCCCGGCCGGGAACGGCGGAGCAGGGCTGGGACGTGCGACAAACCCTGGTCTGGGCAGCGGGGCGGGAGCCCGCAGAGGGGACACAGTCCCCCACGCCGCCTCCCCTCAGGACAGGGATCGTCCGCCGGCACGCGTGGCCGCGCCGGGCTGAAGCGGGACCGCGGGATTTGGCGCTGCGGTGCGGGGTCCCGGTGCTGGGTGTCCTCCTCGGCAGGGTTAAGCTGGGTGAGACCTTCCCTGTGCYCAGGCCCTGGGGGAAGCGCGTAGAAGATTGGTCATTTTCAGGGCAGGGTTGCCAAAGCTGCAACCTGCAGCCTCCCTGCAGCTTCAAGAGGCCGGTGGGGAGCCCGAGGGACGCTCATTGCTCTTTTTCGGGGGCAGCGTTAGGAAAGTGAAGGCAGGCAGGAGGAAASTGGGGACCGAGCGGCTGGAAAATACACCCTGTGAATGTGCTAATCTATCGGTCTTAAACTAAGCATGTAAGAAGGTSGTGCGGCAGTGGCCAAACAGCCAGGGCAGGCTTCCAAGGAACACGGTTTACATCTCTCTGCTGTGGTGGTGTGTTTGGCCACGTGGTTTAGGGAAAAACTGCTCCTGAGAATGTCCATCCCTGCTTGATACCCTCAGCTGAATACCACGGGGAAGTAACTGACATGCAGTCTCCACAAGTTTGGGGTGGTTTTTAAATCCCTTGTGCACCAAAAAGAGAAGAAATGAATATGACCGTTCATTGTCACATTGGGAAGAGGTGTCTGGTGGTGTTTTTTAGGCAGCATATGATCAACCCATCTTCATTGTCGTGAAAAATTTGATGCAGGAGTAAAGCCTACAAATAAAATATACAGGGTTCCACCAAGCTAACAGTTTAACTTTTTGAAGTCACTTTCTGCCCCAGATTACTCTGATTCTGTGATTAATAAGGCTCCAGTTTGTCTCTCAGAACTTTGGTTCCCAGAATTTTGGCAGTCATTTTTCCTCTTTGTTCTAGTTCCTCTTTATGAGTTACATGAAATTAATTACTCGTGTTTTGTCATCTCTTCCAAACCTGCATCCAAAAAATACTTATTTCACGTATGACTCTATTGATTTTACTGTTAATCTGTTACCCTGCCGCTGCACAACAGTGATGTAAATATAGTCAGGATTTAATTTAGTCCATCTGTGTCATTAGAGACAAAAAGATGAGCCCCAGTGCTCCTGAGAGCTGCATTAATGACCTGCTCCACCTGTGCAGTCTCTTAATCATTTGTCTTCACTAAATTTACACTACTTTTTTTCTGGTAACTTTGTAAAGAATGTGAATTGAGGTTAAAACGATACTTAAAAAAGAATGTTTTAACTTCTTGCTGAACCTCTTTGGTTCTGTTTTCCTTGTGAGCTTTCTAAGGGGATTATTACATTTAATTGTACTTAATGCTTTGTGCAAGAATTGCTTTAAAATGGAGATAATCTGAAATATGACATACAAATGTCTTTGGGACGTTGAATCAGTGGAGCATTACAGATAGCTGAGTGGTCCTTTTTTTTATTCTCAGAAAATTCTGATCCATCTGGGAACACATGTAACTGGAAAAATRTACTGTCCCTGAAAGGGACATTGAATCATTTCCTGTGTCTTCTCTCTTTTTTTAAAATACCACCTGTGGGTACTACAGACTGTTCTGGTGTTTGGAGGCAAAATGTCTGATGGTTCAAAGTAATTATTGAGTAAGGTGTGTTTTAATTGTTCATGCTGGAATTTGTGATTGTCAGTGTGTAGTATCTTCAAGCAGGGTATTTGAAGTGCTGGTTTATTTTGATATCRAGTGTATTTATTGCACCAAAGTTTGATTTTTTACAGATCAAAAGTCACTATACTTGGGCAGTGTCTAGTAGATCACATGCTATAACTCATGCACCTWTAAATCAGGTATAACCTTGATCTTTTTTTGTAATTTATAAAGAGTTAGCACATTTGGTAGGTAACAATTTGTACAAAAGAGACAACAGTATGAGCAGATGGACCTGTTGGATGTTGTAAACAATTTAACTCTTGYTGAGCCCCAAGATTTCTTACAGGTAAAAAAATTTACCCAGCCCACTAAGATTTTGCTTTTGTTGTGTTTCACCTTTCCTGAAGAAAGGTGAAAGAAATGTCTTAGAGAGATATGAAGAAAYGTCTTAGAGCAATAAGAGGAAGAAGAGGCAGAAAGCTTTGCTTCTTTTGCTCTGCCCTAAGTGGTGAAGGGAGAATGAGGACTTGGGCAACCTGTGGATGGAGGGATTAGCTATTGCATCTCTTTGGCCTTGCAAAATATCTGAGAAAACCACCATTCTGGAGTACTGCTGCAGATGAGGGAAGGGGTTGCCTTTTTCAAGAGAGGACCTGCAGTCTTTCTTGCAGATTCATGAACATCAGACCATTGATAAGATGAACATGGATTTTCTTAAAAACATGCTTCTGTTTCAGAGGTTGCTTTACAGGAATGTAGCTGAATTAGGTTTTCCTGTCTATCATTAAGATATCAAGGCCCTTATCCTTTCCTGCTCTCTTTGCAAACTTCTTGTAATTTTCTTTTTCACAGACCATTTTTTTCTATCTTTGGTTGCAATATATCTTGATTGTTTCATTGTTTGTCAGTCTGACCTATTGTGATAATGACTTCACATGGTCAAGTGCTGATCTGGGGTGAAAGTGAAAACAAGACCTCTTATTTACCTGCAGCAATATGGAAGTTTTAGCTTATTTCCTTAGGAAGGTCTCTAGTGACAGTGTTAACTTGCATCCATGCAGACCTTCCAAAGCACTTCTTGGCCTTTAGAGTCAGGACTCTCTTCATCCAACTGTAGACCTGAGCATTTGAGTCACCTGAGGTTCTGAGTCACCTTTGCAGAGAGATAGATACTGCTAAAACTTGGTTCGGTTGCCCAGTTTTAGACAGCAGCCATGAATCATGCTCTATTAAATTTCCTTCCTTTCTCTTCGTTGTCTATAAAGAGCTTGTAACAGCTAGGTTAAATGCAGATGTCACAAAAATGCTACCACATGTCTTTTCATGATAAGGAGTGATCCACGGCTCTTGGAAAAGCAGGCATTTTGGGCAGCTTGCTTGATTCTCCTTTTGATCCTTGGCTACCCTAGATACTAACAGTAGAGCTGCCAGTGTAGAAATGTGTTGTGCCATGAAAGAAACTGGAAGCCACGTTCTTCTCATGGTTCTATAGGAGACTTTTGAGCATCTACATCTGTGTAAGAGCTCATGTTGCTTATCACCTCTCAATTTTAATTTATAGTCTTGCTTCTGGGTTTTGAGTGAAAAGGAAACACAGAKTACTTTGATCTGATTTAAAATTTTACTGTGGGAATTCACAAACTAGTTTGGTAATGATTGCTCAAAAAGTTTTAGCATGTCATTASTTTCAAAGACTTTCTTCCAATAAAGTGACCTTTTAGATCTGTGGCTGGCTGATTGCTCTCAGTATTTTTTCTGCTGCCAGTAGCTACTTTACCCTGCGCATAGCACTGTTTCTTCTTGTTGAACACTGATTCAGCATGCTATGAGTTTAGGCTCAAATAAATGAGGGCTACCGTATTAGGAGTATTTTGGGGAGTAGATGCATTATGAATCCTAGAAGAAGAACAAYGTTCAGTGTATATACAAAGCAAATTTTTCTCTGCTGCTCTGTTTAGAAATGCAAACAGAGACAAATGTGATAGAAGTTTTGCACTGGATGCATCTCCTCAGTGCATTTCCATTTTTACTTTCACTTTGTATTTGCTTGTATTCTAAAGCAGAGGATGTAGAAGTGTGGTGTGTGACATTAATATTAAAGGATAAAACTCTGTGTGTCTGCTATCAGTGGTGAACAGCCCCTGAATGGTTGATGTGACTACCAACGGAAAGTCCTCAGTTGTCCTCAGTCATTCCAACTGATAAAGTAAACATTTTCGGGAAAACTTTGTCACTTACCTGCACCTGTCAGGAAGAGTGGGGATGGAAGGGGAGCAAATCTGCCTCTAGCAGCATTGATAGTCCATGAAGCAATAGGGAGAATAGCTAGGAGCCAAAATCAATCATACAGGCACTCACTGGATGCTTTTGCTAAGAAAAATKGCAAATTACCTTTGGAGTCCACGGTTTTAGGCAAAATGTGTTTGCCTCAAAGTGACTCTCCAGGAGAGTTAGGAAGCTCAACAGGATGGTCAGTTAACCTGYTGGCATCAAGTCTTTGTTGGCAGCAGTGAAAACACACTCCTTGGTGGACGTAGTTGATCCATTTTGGTACTGTCACTGCTTCTTCAGGTAACCCAGACTGCAGACACATGATTACTTTTATTCTGCCTCAGAGCAAGATTTTGATGTACTTTTGAGGATTTTTCTAGTATTTTCTCACAGTACTGGAAGGCCCCGTTCCCTCACTTGCTATGGGGATTTCATTGAAGCACAGAAATAAGGATTATCAATCCAAAAATATTTTTAAAAGGTGATGTGGTTTTTCTGTCTGATTGCAAATTTAAAAAAAAAATAACATTCAAGTATACATTACTGTTCTCTGTGCTTTTTAATGAAATAGTGTACTTGAAATATTTGTTGTACATGTGGCTTAGAGGGCATAAGCTTTTGAGATAGCCTTAAACAAGAATACGTGCCAAAAAAGATGAACACAGAGAACACTCCCAAACACTTGTGGTCACAGCTTAGTTTTGTACTTTTGTGACCATATCCTCGTGACTGAGGGGAAGGTGACTGACCTAATGTTTGAGAGAAAAATACAAATGAGCCAGTGGTTTTGGATGCCAGTTCTAGGAAGATACTCAATATAAACTTAATTGCAGTTCTGTTACATGGGGACCATGTTCTTGCATGAAATTCAGCAAAGCCTTTCATATCTATCACTAGATTGGCMTATTTTGTCTCCCCTGTGTCACCGTGGAGTTGCTGT